CACGGGGTTCGATCCTCTCGGGCCTGGACGGCACGGCGTCGCGCCGGCGTTGTTTCAAACGGCGCGAAACGCGACCCGGTCGAATCAAAATCCGGCGAAACAAATACGCCACGGCCGGGAATTTATCTCACGGAACGGTCGGCATTAATTTCACCGCCTCTCTCTCACTCTTAAAATATTTTCAAACTTGGCCAAATTGTTCGCGACCGAGCGTCCTCGACCCCGCGCTTCCTCCTCGCCGCACAGTGGGGCTATTCGCCGGATTTAGCTGACCAAAATTAGTTTTTTCACTTTGCGTGTCTAAAACGAGGATACTATCTTGTTTCTAGCATGTTGCCGTAGAAAAAATAATTAGAAACGGATTAAAATAATTATAAACCATTCGAAAATAATTGTAAACAATTAAAAATTATTTGTGAATGATTGAAAATATTATTTTTATTGTTTCATCAATTCAAAACGTGCCTATTTATTTATTTATGGTAACATAGTTATAGTTATTATAGTAATATATATAATATAGTTATATTATATATATAGTTATATATAATATAATAAGTAATATATTATATATTACTATATAATATATATAATATTATAATATTAAATATTATAATAATGTTAAATATATATAAATATTAAATATTGTAGTAATATTAAGTACTAAATAATGCATATATTTATAATAATATTAAATCTTAAAAAACAAATATTATTATTATTAATTGCATTACTATATCGTCTTCGTACCAGAATGTTAAATATCTCTTTGCGAGTCATTGTCTCAACTCCTAATGGTCCTACAAATCAAATTAAAGCTTTCGAATCCGATATAACTCGCACTAAAGAAATGAAATCGTTAGACTGCGGATTACGGCGGCTAGTTTCAGCGCTCGTCGACAAATGGATTCCTTTCCTATTGTAATGGATTTCCTTTATTATTTTGGCATAAAAAATGCTAGAAACTGTTCACCTCATACTAGCTATTAAATACTAATTATTTAATATCGGATCATCCGGAATGTGTAATTTCGAATGATCAACCAGAGCTGCTTCAAACAATCCCACCTAAGAAGTTCATACTAGTTAAGACCTTTAATTTTCAATTGTTCAGTACACGTATTCTTTATTCCAGTGTCAATTTCTATATATTCTAGTCGGTCTAACAATATTAACCGGTACTGCTACTTCGACGCTCGCCAGCAGATGGATCCCTCTCTCGCTACTACCTGAACCGTCAACGATTCGTATATATACCGTCCCGAACTGTTCCTCCAGTACCCCCGCGTCTAAGGCAGGGTCCGCTAGAAAGCCTTATTGACGAGTCCTCTGGCGGATCCAGGACGAAACGCGTGTTGTGCACCCTTTTCTCTTTTCTCCATTCTTCCATTATCCACAACGACATCAAGGTTGTTGCTGATACCGACGACGAATGTGTGCAACTATCTGGAAGTCAGCAAGCAAAACAAGAAACAGCAATGGAGCAATGCAAGGAGAATGCGTGCAACTGCAGACTGAAGACACCGAGGCCATTCCGTGACTCACATAACTTCCTAGGTGTGATGGCCATTATTGTCGATCCGCTGGATGCGCATGGCACCCAGGAGCTTCAGATCCTGGACCTGCAAGTCGTCATCTGCAACAGAATCCAGCGGATCGGCGAACAACACACAGAGGAGGTCCCCCGGCCGCTTTCGACATTGTCTCTACGGTTCTGAAGGAACAGTTGCGGCGTGTATATCCTATCGTTCTCCTGGAGTCTGGCGTCGATCATGGAACTTACACCTGCGACGAAGCCTTCTCCAACTTGTTGTCCCTCCCACACCTGCGCGTCTAAGGCAGGGCCTGTTAGGACAGCCTTACTGATGAGTCCTCTAGCAGGCCCGGGACGAAACGCCCCTCCTTCTTCTTTTTTTATTCTATCGTTTAGAATAATTGCCTTATTCGATTAATATAAAGTTAATTACGCTCTAAAACAAACTAAAGGCACAGCAATTGGTCATCCCATTGCCCTAAACGTCGCTAAATAATTTTTACCAAATTCATCGGTTCATTTATCTTGTTGCAATTTATCTTTGCAACATTCCTAAGCGGACGGCAACTTTCCAGCGAAACAACGAAAATTACTCTATTTCGTACATCATTTTTGTACATCACTTTTAATCGGGCGATACTGTGCGGCCGACTTTGACCGTGAGTCACTCTACATCGAAAATTGCATTTTGGCCAGGTTTTTCGGGAAAGCGATCAGTGCGCGTTGTTGGCCCGGAATATCGTTTCGCCAAACGCTTTCGTTTTGAAAGGGAAGGGAAAAGACCCGGGACGAAACGCCCTCCTTCTTCTTTTATTCTATCATTTAGAATAATTTTATAGATTAAAATTTCGTAATTCTTTTAATCTTTTTACTATCTTTAATTGCTACTACTCGATGTTACGTAAATGCATAAAATCCGTGGTCTAATAATGAAACTTATTGGAAAATCGTGACAGTTATAAGTTAAAGAACTTGTCATTTGAAAGGATTTTGGAATGTTCGCTAAACTGTGCATATCAGGCTACTTATTTATCGATTTTCTATTCTTCTAAGTTTCATTCTCCAAAATTGTGACACTCGGTGAAAAAAAATGATGTGCTCAACATTTCGACGTTTTCCGAGTGCAAAGAGTTGTAGAAAACCAACAAAAGTGAAGAAGTATGCTTATAACAAGAAAAGAATAACTATGAATTCCTACAGACATACATGACACAAAATTAATAAGTATTTTAATGAGTATTTTCACTGTCAAGGCCGTCGAAAAATCCGATAAGTTGTATTTGAAGAAACGAGATGTTGGGATTACATATAATGCAATTATTATAATAAATGGAAATGGATAACAACAGTCACGCACTGCTCGAGATTACATCATTGCGTGATTAGAGAGTTGTATTGCCCGCGTGAATGCCGAGAGTTATAAATTCTATACCGCGGATAACAGCTCTATTGTCTTGCGCGATGGATTAATGTTTTCTTTGTGGCAGCTGAAAAGTTGTTGCTGCACGTTTTCTCGTTATGAACTTTGTTGGCTCCGGAACGTTAACAGCTTACAGCAATAGTTTAAGTCAATTGCTTTATTTCGAGGAGCTAGACTCAGCCACAGAAATAATTTCGGGTTAAGACCCTGGAAAGTCCCCGACGGCTTGTACGCACTTGGCGAACGCGTGCGTCTCCAGTGCCTTAACCCTCGAGTAATAAAGTAATCACTACAGAGAGCCATAAAGAGAGAGTCATCAGCCATACCTGGTCTCGTCCGTCTACGAGCCATTCTAACGGACCTTTCCACCGAGGAAAACACCGTCTAGCTGCCATTTTCTAACCGTCTGGGGTCCGCCTGTAGTGGCCGGTCCTCTATCCCCATGAAATTTGTCGTGGACAATGGCCACCTTGCCAAAAAGGGGCACCGCCCAAATACAAGTTGCCTAATTGAACAAGTACGAGTCCACCCCATGTACAATTTTCCACATAAAAGCGCGACACTGGCCAAGAATAAATATGATTCACAATTCGATAGTTCTAGCGATACAGTCGTCGACGTTTGGAGAGTTCGGCAAGTTTTACTCGATCATAAGATTCCACAGATAAGAGTCCACTTTCGATAAGAACTACTCGCACAAGGTTAATTCGGCGTGTGAGAGTCGCGATAGACCGAAAGTCTATCTCGACTAATCGACGAGTAAATTCTCCTTAATTGACGCTCGGCTTGATAGCAAAAATGGACAATTTGGGAAGAAGAGGTACGATTAATCGAGCCTTGCGACTCGTTTTTATAGTTATTGACAATCAGTAATCATAAAAGCGAGTCGCAAGGCTCGAATAATCGTACCTCCTCTTCCTAAATTGTCCATTTTTATGCGCAATCTGGACGCAAATTAGGGAGAAATTATTGTACCGATTGTCAACAACTATAAAAACGAGCCGCAAAGCTCGTATAATCGTATCTCCTCTTCTAAAATTGTTCATTTTTGTTCCCAAGCTAAGAGTTTCCAATTAGCGAGAATTTACTTTACCACTTATTAAAGATATTTAGGCAACACAATGGCTGCACGAAAGATCTGGATCATTTCCTTATCACAAATTTCGTTTCAAGTACTGAGAATAATAAAGATCTTTCATAATTTGTGCTTTTATGATTGACAAAAGGAATGGGCAAATTATATACATTATATATTATATGTATAATTATATATATAATATATCATATGTATAATTATATATATTATAATTATATGTATAACTATATATATTATAATTATATGTATAATTATATATATTATATATTATATGTATAATTATATATATTATAATTATACAATCATATTTTAGAACATTAATTAATTTAATTCCTAGTATTAAGAACTGTTTTGAAGATTCGCTTAATTTGATTTTTCACGATGATAATGCCAGCTGCCGTCGCAGTATTTACACTTCGGAACAGTCGATATTTTTAGTAAATTTCGTATTAACGCGTCTGTTCGGAAACTTATTGCCAGAGATTAAATTTTAAACTGTTGACAAAATAATCAACGTGTCGTGTCTGCTATCGAACTCTTAATTGAAAAACGAAGTTTTAAAAGATGTTATCAGCGTTATTATTTTGTAACATCGAGGCATAAAAGGAATGCTAGAAACTGTTCACCTCATACATAGCCATTAAATACTAATTATTTAATATCGGATCATCCGGAATGTGTAATTTCGAATGTGATCAACCAGAGCTGCTTCAAACAATCCCACCTAAGAAGTTCATACTAGTTAAGACCTTTAATTTTCAATTGTTCAGTACACGTATTCTTTATTCCAGTGTCAATTTCTATATATTCTAGTCGGTCTAACAATATTAACCGGTACTGCTACTTCGACGCTCGCCAGCAGATGGATCCCTCTCTCGCTACTACCTGAACCGTCAACGATTCGTATATATACCGTCCCGAACTGTTCCTCCAGTACCCCCGCGTCTAAGGCAGGGTCCGCTAGAAAGCCTTACTGACGAGTCCTCTAGCGGATCCAGAACGAAACGCGCACCGTCTTTCCTTTGCTCCACCCTGCCATTATCCATATGACATCGTTAAAATTGGCGACACGAAGCGACACACAGAATATGGATGGAGAGACGAAACAAAACATCATAACAACACTATATATAGGAGCCGCCAAAACAACAGCACGGAGCGACGCAAGGAGAATGGATGCAACTGTATACCGAAGGCCGAGGCCAAACGCATGTAGAACTCCCTTCCTAGGTGTGATGGGTCTATCGTCGTCGATCCGTTGGAGACGCATGGTATCCAGGAGCTCTCGGATCCTGAACCTGCAAGTCGTCTTCTGCAACAGAATCGAGCGGATCGGCGAACAACACACAGAGGGANGCGACTCGTTTTTATAGTTATTGACAATCAGTAATCATAAAAGCGAGTCGCAAGGCTCGAATAATCGTACCTCCTCTTCCTAAATTGTCCATTTTTATGCGCAATCTGGACGCAAATTAGGGAGAAATTATTGTACCGATTGTCAACAACTATAAAAACGAGCCGCAAAGCTCGTATAATCGTATCTCCTCTTCTAAAATTGTTCATTTTTGTTCCCAAGCTAAGAGTTTCCAATTAGCGAGAATTTACTTTACCACTTATTAAAGATATTTAGGCAACACAATGGCTGCACGAAAGATCTGGATCATTTCCTTATCACAAATTTCGTTTCAAGTACTGAGAATAATAAAGATCTTTCATAATTTGTGCTTTTATGATTGACAAAAGGAATGGGCAAATTATATACATTATATATTATATGTATAATTATATATATAATATATCATATGTATAATTATATATATTATAATTATATGTATAACTATATATATTATAATTATATGTATAATTATATATATTATATATTATATGTATAATTATATATATTATAATTATACAATCATATTTTAGAACATTAATTAATTTAATTCCTAGTATTAAGAACTGTTTTGAAGATTCGCTTAATTTGATTTTTCACGATGATAATGCCAGCTGCCGTCGCAGTATTTACACTTCGGAACAGTCGATATTTTTAGTAAATTTCGTATTAACGCGTCTGTTCGGAAACTTATTGCCAGAGATTAAATTTTAAACTGTTGACAAAATAATCAACGTGTCGTGTCTGCTATCGAACTCTTAATTGAAAAACGAAGTTTTAAAAGATGTTATCAGCGTTATTATTTTGTAACATCGAGGCATAAAAGGAATGCTAGAAACTGTTCACCTCATACATAGCCATTAAATACTAATTATTTAATATCGGATCATCCGGAATGTGTAATTTCGAATGTGATCAACCAGAGCTGCTTCAAACAATCCCACCTAAGAAGTTCATACTAGTTAAGACCTTTAATTTTCAATTGTTCAGTACACGTATTCTTTATTCCAGTGTCAATTTCTATATATTCTAGTCGGTCTAACAATATTAACCGGTACTGCTACTTCGACGCTCGCCAGCAGATGGATCCCTCTCTCGCTACTACCTGAACCGTCAACGATTCGTATATATACCGTCCCGAACTGTTCCTCCAGTACCCCCGCGTCTAAGGCAGGGTCCGCTAGAAAGCCTTACTGACGAGTCCTCTAGCGGATCCAGAACGAAACGCGCACCGTCTTTCCTTTGCTCCACCCTGCCATTATCCATATGACATCGTTAAAATTGGCGACACGAAGCGACACACAGAATATGGATGGAGAGACGAAACAAAACATCATAACAACACTATATATAGGAGCCGCCAAAACAACAGCACGGAGCGACGCAAGGAGAATGGATGCAACTGTATACCGAAGGCCGAGGCCAAACGCATGTAGAACTCCCTTCCTAGGTGTGATGGGTCTATCGTCGTCGATCCGTTGGAGACGCATGGTATCCAGGAGCTCTCGGATCCTGAACCTGCAAGTCGTCTTCTGCAACAGAATCGAGCGGATCGGCGAACAACACACAGAGGGAGGATAAAACCCGGCCGCTTTCGACATATGTCTACGGTTCTGAGGGAACAGTTGCGTGTATATCCTATCGTCCTCCTGGAGATTCGTGGCCTCACGTTAAATCAGCAAAGACGAAACGTGTTCTCCTGGAGACTGACGTCGATCATGGAACTTCACCTGCGACGAAAGCTCTCCAACTGTTGTCCCTCCCACACCTGCGCGTCTAAGGCAGGGCCTGCTAGGATAGCCTTACTGATGAGTTCTCTAGCAGGCCCAGGACGAAACGCTTTCCTTCCCTTTTCTTTTCCACGTCTTACATTTTTTTCTTCCGCCCTCAGAATCTTTATACGAAATAAAAATTATCTTCGTCAACTGCAAGATGTAGGATTTACATAGACATGTGCACTCTTTTTCTTAATCCTTTCAGCGAGTTGACAGCGTGCAATAGTGTTTTGAAATCGTTCAAATGATGTTGCTATCTCGCATTTGATCTACTCATTTTTGTTACAAATGCATAAAATCCGCAGCCTCGTGATCGCTGATCGCAAGATGTTGTTTTATCTGCGAAATGTCAACACAGGATAAGCGTCCGAGGTTTTCGACGAACTGAGTAAAAATAAGCGCGATTTTGTTCACTGTTGAAATATACAAAGAACAGAAAATATTGAAGAAAATATACAAAACAGTTTCCGAGCAAGTTACTGTTTCGTAGCTCTTAAGAAGTTGCTACGAAAATTGCAGGTCGAATTTGATTGAAAAAGATCAATATCTTCGGTTTAATAATGTTGCATTTAGATGCAAGCAAAATGCTTGGAAGAGCACAGTGATCGGGGGATGGCACAGTAATTGAAACACGTACCCTTCGACGACTTCGACAAGATCGACTTTTGGCCAGTAAAATTGGACAAATGCTCTACTGTGCGCCGCGCAACGGCCAACCCCCTCCTCTCCTTTCTCCTTTCTCGTCTCTTCCTCCTTCTTTATCTTTTTTTTCCCCCTTTAATCCCCCTCCGCCGTATTCAGCAGGACAATTCAGACGTCGAGGGATGACAGACGACGGGGACATCCGTAATCGTAATTTGTTTGCAAGCGCTTTCACCGCGCCGCTTAACGTCATAGACGGAGAAAAGAGGAAGAATGTGGACGGGGACAGGGTCTGGCAGAGGGTCCGCCGGTAGACGGGTCTCGGCTGCAGGGTACAGGACGCTGAGGCGTACATTGATACTCGAGAACTTTTGCACGAGAGTTTTCTCTTTTAATGAGAAAAGGCGTCCGACGTCTCCGTCGTCGCCGGCTTGTGCAAAGACAACCGCGTCCTCTCCGCCTCTGTAACGAACCTCTATTTTGGAACCCGCAAACCCTTCCACCGTCGACTCCGAATGAGATCAGCCGCGCTGGCTCCTAGCCCCCTTTAAACGGACGTGTGCCTGCACGTGTGTAACAGATTGCGGAACTTTATGCTAACATTCTTATTGACCGAATTTAGACCGACTACTCGAAGAAGTTTCGGCCGCGGCCGCGAATGGTTTCGAGCCATTCAAAATACCATATCCCGCGGAATTCATTAAACTTTCTGTTTTTATCATTCCTTTAACACGTTCGCGGACGCTAACGCTGTACCGTTTATTTTCATCGCGATGCAAAAATACGTGAACGCTATAGCATTTATCGTGATGCAAAATTAGACGAATGCTGCGGCATTCAATTTTATTATGATGCAAAATGACATGAACGCTATTATCTATGTTATATAATTGGAAACTAAATGTTTACTATATTATCTTTAATTATGTATTACATTACATATTATATATATAATATAGTTAATATATAAATAAATATAATATAGTTAATTAATACAGTATTATAATATATTTATAATATAGTATTAACTATAGTATAGTATAATATAATATATATAATAATAATAATAATATAGTATAGTATAATATATTATAATATAGTACTAACTATATTATATTTAACGTGGAATATAATTTCACTGCATTCATCTACCGCTTTTTTCCTTTCTCTGCATTTTTACGGTAAAATTATAATTGATCGCAGGATGCCAATAAAACAATTTATTCGATATTGCGAATAATTTGTTCTTATTCATTGTGAACGTATAATAGTCTCGCATTTCATATAGTTAATTTCGTTAAAACGGCAAGCGCGTTGTAAAAATGATTCAACTAACGTCATTGGTTTTGTTACATTATATTAATGCACCATAAAAAGTATTTTCATCATGAAAATATTTTTCTTTCGTGTGGATAATAAACGATTATTAAATTTACCGGGCACAAATATTATAAACGTAGAATCGATCGTCACATGAAATTTTTATAACGTCATCTATTATTCGTGTGCGCGATCCTAAATGACTGTGTGTTTACGTTAATCGCTGGTTAATTAATAATTTGTCAACGGCTCAGTTCATGCTATCGCTAGCGATGTTTGCACCCTTTTGTCCTTTTAATCGCACTTTATAATTAATACGGTGATTAATGAATAAACGATACTCTAATTTCAGCGACACGAACATCATTGTCATCATGTTCTCAATATAATTCCGACGATTGCCAGTTATTGCCGGGAAATACGATGTAGAATAAAATACGGAGAATGTCGTGTAACCGAACCCTGTTACCGTTGTCGTGAATCGTCACGCGATCGCGATGTTTTAATATACGAACAGCTCTCTATTGCACATTATAAAAAGTCTACGCGCACGCGATCGTCTTCCTTTTTTAAAAAATTGTTCCGTGATTATTGGAAACGAGGCGAGAAAACGCAGTTGGAAATGGAGCCACAATGCGCGCCGGCTTCTGAATGGTGGTAAATCGATCGGCAATAAGAAAAACGTGCGATCATTTCACGCGGCTTCGACAATGAGTAGCATCGCCGGTAAATAAACCGCAAAGCCGTAGGAACGGAACTTCCGTTCTCGCGCGGGCCCGCGCTAAAAGTAATTAATTAACCGCTTTTTGTCCTGCGGGTCAATTCCGAACGAAGTCGACTTGTTTGTTCGCAGGAGGTACAGCCGGCTCGCGATTAATCTCATTACACATGGGTCACTAAACTTTTTGTCAAGTAATTGGGTTACTCCGTTAAGCGTTGCACGGCGTCGCATATTTAAGCAATCCGCGGAGCGCTCTTCGCCCGGGGCGCGAAAAAAGCTTTCCGTTTAAATAGCAATTTACGTAACCTGAGGCGTCTTATTCTGTTTTTGGAATTCTACGAAAATGTGTGCAGCCGCGAGCGCTTTCGCGTTCGTTTAAAGAAGAAACACGTTGCAGAAAAGATTCGTCTCCGTTTCGAACATGCTTTTAGAAAATATTTTCGTAGAAATTCGATGACGTCAGTAAATTCGATTTTAATCTGTTCGGACGAATGCAAAAGTATGCAGCGCGTTCGGAGATTTTAATTAAAAAAACAGGCGTTTCGATCGTTTGTCACCTTCGTTTAAAAATTTACGCAAGATTGGTTTGTTATTATTCGTAAAATGATGTTGCATAGTAACTGCGGAATTTCATGGAAAATAGAAATCGTCTAGCTTGATTGTAAGAAACGTAAGTCGTATGGAAATATTTTAATGAGTTCTACGTATTACAATAATATTCTCAAATTCTTCTGATATTTTTACAATCTGGTTATCGATGCAGTCATTCTCGTCGAAAATTTATAAAATCCGTCGTTTAATAGCAGTTGGAAAAATTAGATAAGCATTGGATAATTATCGTGCATGTACGTTTGCAGTTCAAGTAACAATGTTATGGTCAAATATGGTCGCATATTATGTAACAATTACATAATATTATGTAATAATGGTCTTGATATTACGATATCTTAAGTAACAAATGAAAATGAATCGGTACAACTGCAGTTGTTTCAAATTAATATTTGATGAAATTAACGTCTGTAATTAATATTTGAGATCAATATTTGAGATTAATATTAATATATATTTGAAATTAATATTTGAAATTAATATTTGAAACTAATATTTCAAATTGATATTTTGAATTAATATTTAAAATTAATATTTCGTGAATTAATATTTAATATTAATACTTTAATAAATTACTTAACAAGAATCTCACAATCATTTCTATACGTCCATGTTGTTCAAATGTTCGTTAATGCGACGTGTAAAAAATGAATCCGTAATTACTTCAACGATTTCGACAGAATTGTTTGTCGCTCGTCTGTTCGCAACATACGAGTACGCTACAACCGGGCATGAAATTGTTAAATGTATCCGAAGAAGCTATTTCGTCCATGTAAAATGCAATCAGCGCGCTGTAAAAAAATTCGAACGGCTCGAAGCCCATTAAAATGAGAGCAGTCGTCCTTGAACCCGTAAGACCGCTCAATTTTTACTCGATATGAAAGTAATTACGCGTTTCCCGCATTTAATCGCAAACGTCGATACATCGACCGTTCATTGGACAAGCTAATTCGCCGTAATTATTTGAAACGAACGAACGGTCGCCCCATTCTTCATTCTCTACCAGGGAAACGCGGTATAAGTTTCACAAAAATGGGGAGGCCATCCGATACCAATTAACGTCGCTCCCAGGGAATTGACAGAGAGCTTTCCTCCTTTCTTCCCGGCATTTCATTCATTTTCTGACGTATTATTATACCATTCAGGGGTCCGCGGCCACATTATGATACGTTGGCACCTGGATCACGTCGCTTTACCGAAAACAATGATCGACCGAAAAAAGGAGACTGGCCGAGCGTACCCAAGGATCGTTCAAAAAGTCGGGAATAATTAGGATCCCGGTAATTATCAATCGATCGGGCAGGACAGCGCGCGCGTCGTCGAATTAGTTTTTCTTTTCCGTTTAATAAACCACGAATATCTTCGTTGCCCGTCCGATAAAATAGCGTGTTTCGAAGGCCTGACGATGTCCCAGGCCGAATGTATTTTTTCTTGACTTCTCTCGTCCGCGGCTCTGATGAACAATTAATGAAAACCTTTGTAAAATTCCGAACGAATTCTTGATTTCATACATATTTCATATGATCGTAGCCACGGTTATATATTAAAATATCGACGAGAATCTTCCTCTTCATTTGGCGCCCCGATTTATTCCAGTCTTAGATGAAAATTACCGTCGGTTTATTATTATTACAAGTTTGTACAATTGAGTAATCGAATGATGCGAGAGAAGTGGGAGCGATTTATTGAGGGATCGAATGACGTATGAGAGGCGAGAGGCGAGTCGGAATCTAAATGTCTGACTATGCGGATCGACAAATTGTGTGGAGATTAGGGTAGACATTGTGTCGGTTTATTATATATTACGTTTAATAAATTAATAAAGTCCCATTATCAGTAATTGTGCATATTAAATTTATATTAAAATTATTATTATATTAAA